ATATAAAAATATAAAAAAAATTAGAGTGATAAAAAAATAAATAATGTCTATTTCAGTTATTTTAACGTTAAAAGATCTTTTATAAAAAAATTTATCAAACAACTTTTTACTCTGCAAGTAATTTTATAAAAAATTTTACCAAACACTTCTAACTTCTCAAAAACAGCCCTTCCACAACAGATTCCCTCTAATAGGACTTTTATTAAAAACTCCAGCCACACCAAACAGGCTCTCAGTGGTTTGTTGTAATTACATTTGGTGTCGTTTGTAGGAAGTCGAATAAAAAGCTTTATTTCTATGTTGATCCAGTTGATTGGTGGGAGGAGAAGATGAGTGAAGGCCTCATGGCCTATTCACTTGAGTTGCAGAAGCAAATTTAATGAATTTACAAAATGGATTTATTCACCTATGAAAAAGAGAAGCTTTCACAAGAAGACAAACAAGATAGTAGCTTTGCACAACTACTGAGGTTCTACTTAATGAAATAAAAGGTACGCATGATACAATGTTAGCAATGAGTATTCAAGAAGCAAAAAAGTGTCAGCAAAAGATAAGCTTAAGGTAACTCAGAGGGGCCAAAAATAAAAAAGAAAAAAAAAAAAGAAGAAAAAAATGGTGAGCACGGGATTATGAAAGTTCCTAGAAAAATAAGCTCACAAATAGGGCACCGTCGACGAGACAAGACAAGCTCGAGCTTGACGACAATGACAAAGCAGTCTCTCAACTTGGCAACGGTAGTCTCCCAGCTCGGTAGTGACAAAGCAATCTCTCCCAACTCAGCAACGACAAAAGCAGTCTCCCAACTCTGTGACAAAGCAATCTCCCAGCTCGGCGACAAAGCAGTCTCCCAACTTGATGGTGACAAAGTAGTCTCCCAACTCGGCGACATGCACCAAGCAAATTTGTAAAGAAGCTCATTAAGGAAGACGCCGATAATCAACAAAATATGGTGCTAGCACGTACTTGCAACAAATTAACAACACTATGAAACCACTGGGAAGGCATGGGTTCCGACCACAAACATCCTCCCTAGGCAGTAAACTATTTGAACTTGGCTATCGCCCTACGATTATTGGGGACATAAATCTTAATCTTTTATTCTTTTACTTTGTTTTTTATGTTGTTTTAGTATATTTTACTTGGCATGTGTTTAGCTCTTTACTTAAATAGTTCATATTTTAGCATTGTTTATCTTGATAACTCATGCCACAAACATTTATATTTAATTCTAAGTTGCTGTGCTACTTTAATGCTAATACATCTCATATACTATCAATTGTTGGTGAGCACATGGTTTCTTTTCAAGTTTTGTGTTTAGAATGAATTCTCACAGGTCTCAAGAGTCTGTTAACTCCTTCTTAGCTTGGAAGACTCAAAGATATTCTATTAGCTTTTGAGCCCATTAGTTCACCGAAAAAATTTATTGGCCTTTGAATCCATTAGCTATTGGCTTTTTGGCCCACCTACGCCACAAGAGGTTATGCCCATTAGTTATCAACTTGTTAGCTCATTTGTTCTATGAAAGCTCAATTCAATCTTAGCTCTACAAAGCACAACCTTTAGAGGGTTTGGTTCCTATGACTTGAGAGGTCAAAATTTTCAAATGGACATCCCATGGTGGGATTTTGTGGTAGACATATCCAGCTGCCAAATTGGCATTCAATCAACTCTACAAAAGTTGGTTTCTAATCCTAGCTCGATAGAGCATGACCCTCAGAGGTCTGACTTCCATTATTATGGCTTGTAAGGTCCCAGGTCGTCATTTCCAGTTATCACTTTTAAGTCGTTAAGTTCTAAGATGACATTCTTTGCTTTACTTCATGACTAAGTTCATGAAAACCTACGAGGTTGATCTTTTAGGTCGTCGTTCTTAGCTTCTAAGTCGGAAGTCTTAAGTCAAGGTTTCTGAGCCAAGTTTCTCAAGAATAAATTAGACTTCTCTGCAATCTATAAAAACAAGAAGCTGAACCTTAGTGATTTTTCAGTAAGCTTGCAAATCCCTAGAGGGAGAAGTGTTGGGATAGTAACTTGACTACCCCACCACGTGTCATTACATTTTCACTTCGGCTATGGCCATAAAAGCATGACTACGTGTCATGCACATTAACTTCGGCTACAGCCACAAAAACATGACTTCATGTCATACATTTTCACTTCGGCTACAGCCCAAAAAGCATGACCATGTGCATGACACTTACGCTACGACCATAAAAGCATGACCATGTGTCATGCACATTTGCTTCAACTACGGCCACAAAAACATAACTTCGTGTCATACATTTTCACTTCGACTACGGCCATAAAAGCATGACCACGTGTCATGCACATTTACTTTGGCTATGGCCACAAAAACATGACTTCGTGTCATGCATTTTCACTTCGGCTACTACCATAAAAGCTTGACCACGTGTCATGCACATTTACTTCGGCTACGGCCACAAAAACATGACTTCATGTCATGCATTTTCACTTCGGCTACGACCATAAAAGCATGACCACATGTCATGCACATTTACTTTAGCTACGGCCACAAAAACATGACTTCATGTCATGCATTTTCACTTCAACTACGGCAATAAAAGCATGGCCACATGTCATGCACATTTACTTCGGCTACGGCCACAAAAACATGACTTCATGTCATGCATTTTCACTTTGGCTACGGCCATAAAAGCATGACTATGTGTCATGCACATTTACTTTGGCTACGGCCACAAAAACTTGACTATATGTCATGCATTTTTAGCCATAAAAGCATGACTATGTGTCATGCACATTTACTTCGGTTACAGCCACAATCACATGACTACGTGTCAAGGATTTTTGCTTTAGTAAGGGCAATAATCATAGGATTTCAAACCATGCATTTTCTATTAACTAAATCTCTAACTTTTATTATATATTACTTCATCATGTATCTTCCAACAATTAGACACGACCCTTACTACCTTCACCAACATCATTCACAAGTGAATGATTGGGAGTGGGGAATAGTGTAAGGATAGGTCTGAGATTAATGATCTCAAATGTACTGTTGCGATTTCTTAATGACCGAGATATAGTGTAAGCCCAATTATTCCCAGTCGCACAGCTGCATGGTAACTACGATAAGCATGCCCGCATCCAATCCCCTGTTCCCGAGATCATCACCTGACTAAACATGTTAGACTCCAATTATCTCGTTAAGCAAGCCACATGGATACTTCATTAAGGCTTATAAATACCCCCATGAGTCACCTCAAAAAAGGTAATTGAAACTGATCTAAAGCTTCTTTTATAGTCTTTTCCTAAGGTAGACTAGATTATTGTTGACTTAGGCATTAGAATGTTTGCCCCAAGGATCCACCTCAGGGCTTTGCAAGTCTGTTTGAAGAGAAGATCTGGATTGAAAAAGAATCAGTGGTTTGTTGCAATTATAGTATCAAAGCCATAAAACAATGTTGTTATGAATAAGATTAAGAAAGTTAGTAAGATTTTATGATGAACAAATTGATATTAAAATAAAAATTATAGTAGAAGAAAGAATGATACCCTATAAAATTGATAAGTTACTATGGGATAGATTTGTGTATAAAGTTTGTAAGGTTTCAACTTTAAAAGAATTAAAAAATTTAGTAAGATAAAAATAAAAGTTGTTTTTGTGACAATATAAGTTCAAGGACTAAAGGACAAAGAAATATTTGCATCGAACCCTATAAGGAAAAACTCTTATAGCACATGTTTCTCCATTTATAAGACTCGAACTTGAAATATTTTTTCAAAGATTTTTTCAAAGAACCAAGATTCTTTTGCTCAAACCAACAAATTATTAGCAGATTTTCCATTATCTTTAATGAATTAGATGAAATTCAAGCAATAAATAAAATTAAAAGAATCTGAAAAATAATAAATGAAATTAAAACAAATATAAAAAATAATAAATATTTTATTAAATTAAATAAAAATTCTCTAGAATTTAATTCAATTTAAACTACCACAGCTTTTCCATAAAAAAACAAAAAGTCTTCTATTTATTTGCCCATCTATTATTTCCCACGGCTTGGAACGCGGCATTGATTTTGGCCTATGCTTATTTTTTCAATTAATTTATTTCTTTAGTTTTCGAGCCCAACACTGTACCGTACTGGAGACTGGAGTAATGTAAAATGAAACCACCTCCTCACTCCACACTTCTCCCCCATCTTCAACATCTATAAATTTCAATTTTTTCTGATTCATCTTTCTGCGCGATTCCTGTAAATCCGAGTCAAAATTGATTCCTGAAGGATCTATCTCATAGGCATAGCAGTTCCAGTGAGTGAGTGATCTGGATCTTGTTTGGTTGGATGGAAGCCGGGGGCCGGGAAACTGCTGGAAAGCGAGGGAGAGTGAAGGAAAATTAAGGATGAAGTTACACGTATCTATGACTGGCATAAATCGGGTTATCATACCGAATGCAACGGCGGCGGCGGTGGTGCGAAGCCGGATACCAGGCCGGACTCTGTTTCTGCTGCTGTTGGTGGTCGCGATCGTTTTCTCCTCCCTTTTTGTTAGAACTGCTTTCTTAGTCCTTGAATCCGCCGCTTCCTGCTCTTCTCCGATTGGTAATCATTGAGTACTAATTTTAACTTTTTTCATTTTTGGAGTTTTATAGAGTATTATTATTTTTCTTTTACAAAATTTACCATTGTATCTTTATCTTTTTTTCTCTCATGATAAAAAAAAAAAATCTTTTTTTTTCTATAAATAGTTTAAATCAAAATTTTTTTAAAAAGTATGTTTAATTAAAAATTTTATGCAGATTGTATTGGATGGAGGTTAATGGGCCAAGCTGACACATCTCAGGTATGATTTCTTTCCTTATCTTTGGAATATGCATGTTATTATTTAATAATATATGTAAATAAGTTACTCTAGTAGACTGCCACTTGTTTTCT